ATGCAGTGTCTGCAAACGGCGACATCCCACTTCTCTTCATGAAGACTGGAATCGGAGTAATCAAGTACAAGAGAGAGATGTGAGAATGGAGATCCAATCGTCTGATCATGAGAGTTCTAACGCAACAGAAGAACTCCGGTCATCGAGTTCTCACACAACAGTAAACCACATGACCTTGAAGAAACAGGCTGTAAAGTGTTCAGCAGTTGTTCCAGTCTGGATATCACAGAAGGGCAGATTTGATGAAAGGCTGATATATGCATTATTGGATACTCAGTCGGACACCACATTCTTGCTGGAATCTACCAAGGAAGCCATGAATCTACAAGGTTCAAAGGTGAATCTTCTTCTTTCTACTATGTCCAAGAAGGATGAGAGGATCCCTAGTGAGAAAATTCAAGGACTCACGGTTCGTGCTCACAACAGTATGAAGACGATTGATCTCCCTGCAGTCTATACACGAGACATCATGCCCGCAAATAGGGAGTATATTCCAGTGCCTGAAGTGGCTATGTCCTTTCCTCACCTGACTGAAATTGCAGAGGAACTGCTACCACTACAAGACTGTGAGGTAGGATTGCTGATCGGATATGATTGTGCACGTGCTCTAATTCCTCGCAGCATAATTCTTTCTCCTGATGATGATGATGGACCCTTTGGGATGAAGACAGATCTAGGTTGGTGTGTTGTGGGTATATCAAGTCAGAAGGAGTTTGCTGTCAGCCCCGACGACAGAATAGGGTTCAGTCATCGATTGATCACCTGTGAGATACTCCCTGAGCTGACTGAAAGCAAAACTGCAACCAAGGAAAAGGTGATGTTCTCACACAACGTCACCATCAAGGAAGAGATAAGTCCTTCATCGGTGCTGAGGATAATGGAAGCAGACTTCTCGGACCTAAGAGACAACAGCGAACCTTCCTCACATAATGATGTAAGATTCATGAACATCATGAAGAATAATGTTCGCTTAACAGAAGACGGACATTACGAAACTCCACTTCCCTTCAAGGAAAAGGAACCAGATCTGCCAAACAACAGGTATATGGCAGACAAGAGACTACAACATCTCAAACGAAAGTTTGAAAGAGATTCAAACTACCACCGTAGATACACAGAGAAGATGGAAGCACTCTTAGAGAAAGGGTACGCAGAGTTAGCACCAGAAATCAAGACAGCTGATAGTCCAGTCTGGTATATTCCCCACCACGGTGTTATACAGCCCAACAAACTTCGGGTCGTATATGACTGCAGTGCTCAGTACAAGGGGGAATCCCTTAACGATTATCTTCTCACTGGACCAGACCTGACAAATGCTCTCGTAGGCGTACTCTGCAGATTCAGGAGAGACGAGATTGCATTCAGTTGCGACATAAAGGAAATGTTTCACCAATTCAAGGTGAGAGAAGACCACCGTGACTACTTGAGATATTTGTGGTGGAAAGACGGAGATATTCTTCGAGAACCCATTGAGCTGCGTATGACTGTCCATTTGTTTGGCGCATCTTCCTCCCCAGGCTGCTCCAATTTTTGCTTGAAGCAGACAGCTACTGATCACGCAGACGAATTTGGAAATGATGTGAAGGACTTCATTCATCGGGATTTCTATGTGGACGATGGATTGAAATCCGTTCCTTCTACAAAGGACGCTATCGACCTAGTTTCGAGAACAAGACAACTGTGTAAGAAAAGTGGACTGCATCTACACAAGTTCATATCTAACAGCAGAGAAGTAATGGAATCTGTTCCGGAGCCTGATAGAGCGAAGGGAGTCTCCAAGACGGATCTTATGGGAGTTGATTCACCCATGGAAAAGGCTCTGGGAGTTCTATGGTGTGTTGAGTCCGACACACTTAAGTTCAGGCTCACTCTACATGACAAACCCCTGACGAGAAGAGGAGTCTTAGCCACAGTTATGTCAATCTACGATCCATTGGGTCTGCTGGCGCCAGTTGTACTGCGAGGAAAACAGATCTTGCAAGAACTATGCAGGAAAGCAGTAGACTGGGATGATCAACTGCCTGATGAACAGAGAAGCAGCTGGGAGAAATGGAGAGCTGATTTGCATAATCTGGACTCAATCTCCATACAAAGATGCTACAAGCCTGCACATTTCGGAGAAGTAAAGACAACGCAACTTCATCACTTTTCTGATGCCAGTACTACTGGTTATGGCGAGTGCACATATCTAAGGCTGACTAATGATGAAGGAAAGGTGCATTGTACACTCCTGATGGGGAAGGCCAGAGTTGTACCTCTCAAACCAATCACTGTACCACGTCTGGAGCTGACAGCTGCAGTTGTTTCAGTTAGAGTCAGTGCATTTCTTCAGAGAGAGTTTGTACCCTCAGACACTGAAGAGTTCTATTGGACGGACAGCAATGTAGTAATGGGCTACGTTAGTAACGACTCGAAGCGCTTTCATGTCTTTGTTGCCAACCGTGTGCATCAGATTAGACAACACTCTTCCCCCTCACAATGGAGACATGTGGGTACACAGGATAACCCAGCTGATATTGCTTCTCGAGGAGCTACAGTCAACCAACTCCTGTCTTCCTCTTGGTTTACTGGCCCAAAGTTCCTGTGGGAGAGCAACACAGAGAAGTTCATTCAAGGTGATAAGTTTGATGTGAAGTTGGATGATCCAGAAGTGAAGAAAGCTCATGCAAACGTTGTACATGGTCACTCTAAGCCTTGTACCTTTGAGATCGATCGTTTGGACAGATTTTCCTCTTGGCACAGAGCTAAAAGGGCAGTAGCAAACTGCATGAGACTGAAGGCGCATTTGAGAAGGCGATGTCGAGAGCGAGGTCTGAGCAAGTCATCCACCACTGGAAAGACTTCATTCCATGGTGAGCTACAGAAGCTTACTACAAGGGAACTCAACAAAGCACAATGTGAAATCCTGAAGACCGTACAGAGAGATGCATTCAGTAATGAACTGACAGCTATACAGAACCAGTCTGGTAAAGGTAATGAGATGAATGCAAACAAGAGACACAGGCGTAAGCAGCAAGGGTATAGTCGCTTTCATCGTCTTGACCCTTTCATCGACGCTGATGGGATACTGAGAGTAGGTGGACGCCTAAGTTGTGCTGAAGGTTCCTATGAAAGTAAGCATCCAGCTATTCTACCTCAGGACCACCATATTACAGAGTTGATAATACGACATTGTCACATTCAGACAGCTCACCAGGGACGAGGTATGACCATCAACCAACTGAGGTCCAGCGGCTTCTGGGTCTTATCTGGGAGCTCAACAGTCTCTAGACTCATAAGGAAGTGTGTCACATGTCGTAGGCTACGTGGCGAATCTCAATGGCAGAAGATGTCAAACCTGCCTAAGGACAGAGTAGAGCCTACACCACCCTTCACATACAGCTGTATGGACGTGTTTGGTCCATGGGTAATCAAAGAAGGCCGAAAGGAACTGAAAAGGTACGGCCTCCTCTTCAGTTGTATGGTTTCTAGGGCTGTGCACATTGAGACACTAAATTCGATGACAACCGACTCTTTCATCAACGCTCTTCGACGATTCCTATCCATTAGAGGTCCTGTGCGCCAGCTTCGTTCAGATAGAGGCACTATCTTCATCGGGGCTGAAGCTGAGCTAGGAGAAGGTAGTAATACACACCAGGACAAGATTCAGGAATTTCTTCTGAGGAAAGACTGTGATTATATTCACTTCAAATTCAATGTCCCTTCGGCTAGTCACATGGGAGGTGTATGGGAAAGACAAATACGCAGTATACGTCGTGTGCTAGAAACATTGCTGTATGAAGCTGGACAGCAGCTTGATGACGAGTCCCTGCGCACCCTCATGAACGAAGCAGCAGCTATCGTAAATAGCAGACCTCTGACTGTCGACAATTTGAATGACCCTACACATCCTGAGCCCCTGACACCGAATCATCTTCTGACGATGAAAACCAACGTGCTGTTGCCGCCTCCAGGACACTTCCAACGAGAGGACTTGTACTCTAGGAAAAGATGGAGGAGAGTTCAGCATCTCGCGAACGAATTCTGGAAGCGTTGGAAGCGAGAGTTTCTCCAGAGTCTCCAATCACGTCAGAAATGGACTTGCCCACAGCGTGAAACCCGTATAGGTGATGTCGTAATAATGAAAGACGACAATCCAAGAAACCAATGGACGCTAGCCAGAGTAGTTGATGTTTACCCATCCTCGGACAATCATGTGCGTAAGGTTAAATTGGTGATGGGTGACCCCAAGATAAACAGTCGCGGGAAGCGAATCTTCCAACAACGTTATTTTGAACGACCAATACATAAGCTTATCTTGTTAGTCGCGCATGAAGACCAGGGGAAATTCCCTGACAAGGAGCCACAAGGCTAGGGGGTTGAACTTGGTTGACAAGGAGCCACAAGGCTAGGGGGTTGAATTTGGATAACAAGGAGCCAAGGGGTCTGAATTAAGACTAATTTATGTTATCATTTGATATTGTTCATTGTGTCTGAAATTGAAACTAATTTGAATTTTCGCAGACATTGTGTTTGATAAATGTGATTTCAACCAAAATTCTAAAGTCTGAAAGGGAGAATACCTTCAATTTTCTAAATGCCGCTTTGTTTTATGTATATGTATACTGGTTTGATCATAATGCTAGAGTCTGGATGTAAGACTAAATTGAAATGTTTAAGGTTAAACATGCTTTATTTTTTGAAAGGGTCAACTTGGAATATAAAACTATTCCCTCGTTAATAAAGGTATATCTGTGTCTGAGATGAAAACTACATCCAAGAGTCAAGTGAGACTATATTTAAGACTATTCATTTCAGTGTAAACTTACTAGGGTCTGAAGTCAGACTTGTAACCTTGTGACATTTCATTTGTTTGCAAAATGAATTGTGGACATAAGGTTGATGCTCATTAAATCATATCTATGTGTCTGATGCAAGACTAAGGAGTTAATGTTATTTAACAAAATTTATACATGCATAAAATAATTTTTAAGATTAAGGGCTAAGACTAATTTGAAACAAAATTTGAAGTCATGTATTACTATACAATACATGGATGGTGTTTTGGTTACAGAGTCAAATTTATGCATTAGTTTAGATTCTTGATCTCTGAACGTCTGTTATAGAAGGATTAGAATTGAACATTATAAGTTGTAAAACCAGTTAAACTTATAGATTGAAGCTAGTAAATGGAGCTAGTGAGTATAGCTAGATGCATTACATTTACTTCTAGATGTGCTTTGTATATATACAAAGTTAGAAATGTTAGTTCTGTAGAACACGTAAGAATTATCGCAGGTATGTCAAATAGTTTATTATGGTAAATTAGTTGTACTAATTTAAAGGAGCCATGTAAGTGTATTTGATTTAGTCGACCAAAAGGTTAGAGCGCCATCTTCGGCGACAGACTTTTATAGACAGAGTTTCAAAGTCAAACAATGATCAATGAAGAACAATGAGAAATCGATGATTAATTGCAACATATTCTTAGCTGCAGACAAGTTAATTGACTAAAAGGAGGCAAGAAGGTCAGTACTTATTAGCTTGCAGTGTTTCAGTTGTGGGAAATATGTGTATAATTATGATATTCATGCCATAACTTTGAGGCAGGTGCCCATGTATAAGAATTTATGTTGATGAATCTGTGTATAAGAACTTAAGTTGTATTAATTTATAGAAGTGTGAAGACTATTCAGGAAACACAAAGAAATAGTAAGGTTAAGTAAATGGCAAGGTTTGGTATAATGCCTATGGGTCACGCCCAAATTTGTATTAAGGAACCTGTAATTATTACATGGATAAGGAACCTGTAATTATTATTGCATTTTAATTAATGCCCATTTTTTGTTGTATGTTTTCTCACAGTTTTCACGGAGTGAAAAGAACAGAGTTAAAAGAAAGGAGTCAAAGAAAGGAAGCTACGCTCCTACCAAAGAATAAAAGAACACTCCCGTAAAAACCTTGTTAACTTGTCGTTATTGATTGGCTGCAGTTACACTTATGTTATTCTTTGTTTTTATCATTCAATCACTTTCTCTTTCCGTCTTTCCTCATGTTATTCTTTGTTTTTATCATTCTATCACTTTCTCTTTCTGTCTTTCCTTATGTTATTCTTTGTTTTTATCTTTCAATCACTTTCTCTTTCCGTCTTTGCTTATGTTATCCTTTGTTTTTATCATTCTATCACTTTCTCTTTCTGTCTTTCCTTACGTTATATTTTGTTTTTATCATTCAATCACCTTCTCTTATGTTATTCTTTGTTTTTATCATTCTATCACTTTCTCTATCTGTCTTTCCTTATGTTTTCTTTGTTTTTATCATTCAATCACTTTCTCTTTCCGTCTTTCCTCATGTTATTCTTTGTTTTTATCATTCAATCACCTTCTCTTATGTTATTCTTTGTTTTTTATCATTCAATCAACTTCTCTTATGTTATTCTTTGTTTTTATCATTCTATCACTTTCTCTTTCTGTCTTTCTGGAGTCCGCTCAAACGTCAGCTCGTGAAAAGGCGACGTGAGGCCGGCCTATGTGTAGACGCAAAATTGCGGGCCCGAGATCATGTGTAACAGGGGTTTGATTATCTCGAGGTGGTTTCAAATTGCAGGCGTGAGGCCGCCTCCGGGGCCCGCTTTAAAAGCCGACGCATGTGTAACAGGGGTCTGCTCTCCTCGAATGAGAAGTAAGATCTTCCATGGATGTGTCGGTCGATCAAGTTTCTGTCCCCCTCTAATGAAAGTGCACGCAATCTTCATGGTGTCTATTTTGACCAGCATATGAACATGGATAGACATATTGGCCCGTATTCTGAAGTCGTGTCTAAATAAACAGTTGTTTAACTTTAGAAATCACTAAGTTAGCAGTGGCGGATCCAGGGGGGGGGGGCCGAAACGGCCGCGGCCCCCCCCCCCCTATTGGCGGCGCAAAAAAAAAGGAAGAAAAAAAAAGAGGAAGAAAAGAAGAGAAAAAAAGAAAGGAGAAGAGGAGAAAAAAAAGGAGAAGAGAAAGGAAAAAAAGAAGAGTAAAGAAAAGAGAAGAGAAAAGATAAAGAAGAAAGCCCCCCCCCCCCCTCCCTCCCACTCCAGGGTCGGAGGGACCGAATTTGTGTTACCTAAATTTCCGATAAAGAGTTACTTTTCACGCAACAAAGTCCGGCCCATAATACACAAAAATCCGGCCCGTACTGACTTTACACACCGGACATAGAGGGGTGCTTTCAAAGAGAGGGAACATACATGTGCGTACCCTAGATAACACTGAGTGGGTGGGGGTGGGGGAAAAGAAAAGTCGGGTGAGGGGGAAAGACAAGGAAATGGCGCTAAGTGACAGTAACGACGAATAAGGGAAAACTGTAATTGGGAGATTTGGGGGTAATTCCAGAAGGCTTGGCAATCGTTATTGAATAGGGGGGGGGGGGGGGGCAGGGCCAGCCGCATAAAATCTCGAGCCGCGGATTCAAACTTAAACGTTAAGAACAGCCCCTGCGGTCATCACTCTTTAGTGAGAAATTTGAAAAGGGCACAATATTGTGGATGTCTTTTAAATAGAAGTTATATAACCAACAGTCAAATTAACGGTATAGGGCCGCTTCACAACTCTTATTTTGCACTTCATTTGGATTCAGCTCATACCAACTCGCTTGTGCTTGTATTTGAACTCATGTTGGTAGTAATCATGGACAGGGGCGGCGGCAATCCTGGGCCCGATAGGGGGATACGTCCCCCAGGAAATTTAGAAATATATAGCTAGAAAGAAATATAGCGAAAAGAACGTACATATTGGGCTAAGGGATTTTTCTAGAATGCATAATTTCAGCATTCAACATTGCAAAATCTCGCTTGGTCGCTACGCCCCGGCCCTCGGCCGACAACACAAAACTATGACGCTCCTGGCCGTGATTTATCCATGGTTGGTGTAATAGATCTTTTTTCCCTTTCATTTCTACTAACCTAATTGTGTGCTATCACAATCATGATTGTTTCATTTTCCCTTTAAAGCAGGCGCGTAGCCAGGGGCGGTAGGGGCAGTGAGAGGACATAGGACGAAAAAGGAGCAGACAAAGAAACATTTTTGAAAATTCTGACAAGTCGAGAACGGTACAGCGAATCGTCTTCTTTTTCTAATAATTTAATGAAATGTCAAAGCTTCCGCGCATCGCTCGGGAGAGGGGCAACTGAATTCAGACAAGGATCGGGAGTCGAGAATGGTAAAACGAATCATCTTCTTTCTCTAATAATTCTGCGCTTTGCGTGGGAAGGGGAAAACTGAATTCAGACAAGGATTAAGAGTCGAGAATGGTACAAAGAATCGTCTCCTTTCCCTTATAATTTAATGAAACGTCAAAGCTTCCGCGCTTCGCGCGGGATGGGGGGGGGGGAGGAGGGAACTCAATTCAGACAAGGATTAAGAGTCGAGAACGGTATACGAATCGTCTTCTTTCTCTAATAATTTAATGAAATGTCAAAGCGGGAGGGGGAACTCGATTCAGACAAGGATAAAGAGTCGATGACGGTACAACGAATCATCTTCTTTCTCTAATAATGAAACGTTAAGCTTCCGCGCAAAGTGCAGGAGTGGGGAACTGAATTCAGAGAAGGATTTAGAGTCGAGAATGGAACAATTAACGAATCATCTTCTTTCTCTAATAATTTCATTAAACTATGAAGGCCAAAGCTTCCGTGCTTCGCGCGAGAGGGGGGGGGGCTGAATTCAGTCAAGTTATAAGAGTCGAGAATGGTACAACAAATCTTCTTTCTCTAATAATTAATGAAAGGGCAAAGCTTCCGCGCTTCGCGCGGGCGGGAGGAAACTGAATTCAAACAAGGATTAAGAGTCGAGAATGGTACAACGAATCGTCTTCTTTCTCTAATAATTTAATGAAAGGTCAAAGCTTCCACGCTTCGCGCGAGAGGGGTGGGGGAAAACTGCTTTCAAACAAGGATTAAGAGTCGAGAATGTTATAACGAATCGTCTTCTTTCTCTAATAATTTAATGAAACGTAAAAGCTTTCGCGCGGGAGGGGGAAAACTGAACTCAGACAAGGATTAAGAGTCGAGAACGGTACAACGAATAGTCTTTTTTCTCTAATAATTTAATGAAACGTTAAGCTTCTGCGCTTTGCGCGGGAGGGGGAAAAATGATTTCAGACAAGGAATACGAGTCGAGAATGGTGCAACAAAATAGTCTTCTTTCTCTAATAATTAATGAAAGGTCAAAGCTTCCGCGCTTCGAGCTTAATGGGGGGGGGGGGGACAGCGAGCTGCCCGATTAATGAGATTTTGATATCTTTTCTCGTTTATTTTGGTGATAGATAACACTTCCACAAAATTGCTCGCTCGCTTCGCTCACTAGCCGAATTGTGAAACCAGAAAATTACGTTTTCGGGCAAGAGGCTATAGCCCCCCCCCCCCCCCGGATGAAAATGTCAAAAATTGTACTGGTATGGTGCTTCTAATATATGACCTTGAAAAAAATGGTCTGCGCAATTTTTAAATTTCCTGCCCCCCTCCCCCCTCCCCCCCTCCCCCCTCCCCCCCCCCCCCCCCCCCCCCCCCCTATTGGAAAATCCTGGATCCGCGCCTTATAAGAGCTAGGAGCGGGTGACTTTGAATATTTACATGGCGACATACAAGTGCTGTGGATCATCATCATCAAATTTAAAAATCTGTGCTCTCTCGTAAATGAATCTTCATATGACTCGAAAGTGTGCTGAGCCAGTTAAAATCTTGAAGATCATCCCTACAATGTAGGACAGGGGCGGCGGATCGACTTCCAAAAAGGGCACTTTCTGGAAAAGGGCACCTACAAAGGGAAATTTCAAAGCGAAAATATGCAATGTTTTAAGACATTGTATATAACCTTATACATTGTGATTACATTATCAGGGATGATCTAAATATTTGTTTATCAATATACACCTTACAAGATATTGCTTAAGCGTCATTCTTTTCAGTTGTGTGATGTGGGGCACTTATGAGAAAGAAAGGGGCACTTATATAAGAAAGAAAAAGGGGCACTTAACGAAGGAAAATGTGCATGAAAGAACGGGCACCGATCAGATTTGAATAGGGGCATTGATCGGAGGTAAAAGGAGACTTTTACGAGAAGGGGGGCACGTATGGGGGCTCTTGTTAAGGCACATGTTAAAATGAACGGGGCACTTATCAGAGATGAAAAGGGGTAATTATGAGAAGGGGAAGGGGCATTTATAAGAAGAAAAAAGAGCATTTATTAGAAAGGAAAGGGGGCACATGTTAACATAAAAGGGGCAGTTATTAGAGGTGAAAAGGACACTCGTCAGAGACGAAAAGAGCACTTATCAGGAGGGGAAGGGACACTGTCAAAGTAAAACTAGTATCTCTCAGATTTGAATAGGGGAAATTATCTGAAGTGAAAAGGGGCAGTTACTATAGAGATTAACAAGGGTCGCTATAGCTACTTATGGGAATGGAAAATGGACACTATAATTGCAAAGGGAAAAGAGACACTTATCAGAGGTAAAAAAAAAGGGAGGGGGCACTCTTACACATTAATAGGGGCACTTTTCAAGGTAAAGGTGGCACTTTTGGGGGCACTTGAAAAGTGGGGGGGGGGGCTCTGATGTAGGACATTTGCTATAACGCTTTGATCGAGGTATACCCCTGTGTAAGGTTCCTTTATGTTGGTGCCCCCCCCCTCCCCCACTTTGAAAGACTCTAGCTCCTCCAGCTCCGCCGATAATTAACAGGCCGGGATCATCTTCGAAGAAGCGAGTGAGGAGAGTTTTTTTTGGGGGGGGGGGGGGGGGGGAGGGAGGGGGGGTCCAATATTTTTAGGAAATATTTTGCGCCGACTCAGCCAGGGCCGCTGAATAAGCGGGGGGGGGGGGGGGGGGGGGGGGGGGGGTGTAAGAAGCAATTATATTTTGTTGGGTCCAATTATTTTTAGGGAATATGTTGGAAAATGTATTGAAATTATGCTT